AAAGCCACTCCCAGGTGCTACTCAACTAAATGAGATGGCTTTTGCACTTAGGGAAGCAACTACTGAGCTCATGAATGGGAAGAACTGTACTCCCTACATCAACAAGAGATTATTTTGGAGACAGATGATAAAAACCAGACATCCTTTTTATTGTTAAGTCATAAAGAGGTATCAAAATTAAAAGCAAAAATTACAGGGCAAGACTTAACAAAACTACTAGGAGCATCAAAGGAGTGAAAATGGGACTAAGCGCAGGGCATTATGAATTAATGAACATGGGAAGGACAAGCATGGGGCTAACAGTGAGCATGTGCTGAAGATACTAGGGGAGAGGATCTGATGAAAATTTTGATCTTACACAAGTGCCTAGGTAAAGAAATAATGGGATAAGGATCCTAAACCTCACTATGTGCTTAAGAGTCATCCTCGCCATTGGTGCTGTCTCTGTCATCCTCTCCTTCCTCAGCCTTTTTCATCATCCTTGATCAGCTTCAGCTGGTCATCCCCCCATCTTCATTATCATCATCATCCAGCAGGTCCCCCTCCTCAGTAGAGTCATCTGCACCCTCCTCACACTCCCTCCTCACATTCGTCTCATCTTTCTTCAGGAAGCTGCTGCTCTGCTCCTCTTCTGACTTAATCATTCTTCAACTCTACTCCGTGTTTGCTCTGCTCCCTTTCAATTTTTTTCCAGGCTTTCCAGCAGAGAATCCACTTTTTGTTTTATCTGGGTCAACTCCTTCTGAAGGCCTGGAGGTCATCTCCTTTCAACTTTCCAGACTTGGAAGAAGATCTTTGTTGTCCACTCTTAGAACTGAAGCCACTTTTCCCCCTTCTTGAGGTGTTTCCTGATACACGTTGGCGTTTAGAGGGCTCTACAGCCCGAGCAATAGGAGGAGGAGGAGGAACTCATGCTGGGTAGCTGTACACCCTGTCATAATAATCCCATTGAAAATCATAGTGCAAGTCAAAAGAGGAGCTGAGTAGAGGGAACGGAGAAGGGTGTTCTGGTACTGACCCGTACATCTCCGCTGCAGGTCATTTCACACCTGCTTTTCCTCAGTTCACTTTTGGCTCTGCAGGCAGATTAATGTCTAAAACCTGGCCAGCAATCATTCTGCCATCTTCTCCTGCTACTGCAGCTCGGGCATTTCTCTCATTAACATACTGAACAAAGGCAAAGCCCGTATGAACAGAGCAGCCCGAAATTCTGCCATACTTCGAGAAGATTGCCTCTACATCAGACTTCTTGCTCACAAGAGTGTTGAGATTCCCAGTGAATACACGGGAGTTCATGGAACGAGAATCTGTCTTGTTGGTAACATTGCTTGCCATTGTGTTTGATGCTAGGTTCTTCACAAAGCCGAAAAATGTAGCTGAAGATCAAAAAAATCTCACAGGAGGGGGAGGGAGAAGAGATTCGATTCTGAATCTCCCACTCCCGAGTTCTACACGGAGAGGCCCACCGCTGCTCCAGGTAGGCAACAAGGCCACAATCACACAGTCTTCATCTCCACACAAAAATCTGTAACTCTGTCTTTCAAATAAAAAAAAAAGTAGTAAACAACCATAAAAAGGAATGTGTTACTGATAACATGCCACAACAATAATGTGCCTTGAAAGCATGCTAAGTGAAAGAAGTCAGTCATAAAATACCACACTTTCTATGATTCTATTTTCACAGAAATTCCAGAATAGGTAAATCTTTAGAGGCAAAAAATTAATAATACTAGGGTGATAGGATGTTGAGAGCTAAAGGATACAGGCTTTCTTTTGCGGTGATGAAAATGTTCCAAAATTGACTGTGGTGATGATTGAACATACTTTGAGACTGTTCTAAAAGCCATTAAGTTGCATACTTTAAATGGATATTTTGGATGATGGATTATTAGCTTACTAAGGCTGCTGTAACAAAGTCCTACAAACTGAGGAGAGGAGTTTAGGCAACAGAAATTAATTTTCTCACAGCTGTGGAGACTAAAATTTGGAGATCAAGGAGCTGAATGATTGCTTTCTTCTGAGGACTCTGAGGGAAGTGTCTGTTCCAGGCTCTTCTCCTTGGCTAATCGGAGGTGATCTTCCTGTGTCTTCGCAACCCCTTCCCTTTACACATCTTGGTTCACATTTCCTCTTTTTGTAAGGACAGAAGTCACCTTGGATGAGTGCTCACTCTTTTTTTTTTTCAAGATTTATTTATTTATACGAAGGGCAGAGTTACAGAGGGAGAGAAGGAGAGAGAGAGAGAGAATCTTCCATCTGCTGGTTGACTCCCCAAATGGCCACAATGGCCAAATGGGCCCATCTGAAACCAGGAGCCAGGAGCTTCTTCCAGGTTTCCTGAATGGGTGCAGGGGCCCAAGGACTTGGGCCATCTTCTATTGCTTTCCCAGGCCATAGCAGAGGGCTGGATCTAAAGTGAAGTAGCTGGGTCTTGAACTGGCACCCATATGGGATGCTGGCACTGCAGAGAGCAGCTTTACCCACTACGGCGTAGTGCCAGCCCTTGAGTGCTCACTCTTATGACTTCATTTTACAATCAGTTGTGTAAAGATCCTCCCTACAAACATGATTATGTCTGACTCCCTGGGGTTTAGGATTTCAGTATATAAACTTGGTGTGGAGGCACAGCTCAGCCTATAACATATGGTATGTGAATTTTATCTCAATGAGACTTTTAAAAAGAAGAAAGGGAGGGTGTCGCTCCCCGTCTTCGTGGAGGAACGACACAGGACCCTGCGCTGTTCTTTTGTCTGCTCGGCCCTCCCCGGGTTTGCTGATGGCTCTTCCCGGGTTGGCTACCGACCCTTCCACCTCCGTGGAAGGGCGGTTCCCCCTGCCACTTTCCCCACTTCCGCGGGGGAGCGGCACACCGCCGGCCGGCTCTCTCGGGGGCTGCACAGGTGTTCCTTCAGCTAGATGTTCCTGGTGCATGTTGTCTCTCTCCTCCTTTATAGTCCTCTCCACCAATCCATGCTCTGCTGCCCACACGCCGAGTACGCTGCTCTCCTCCAATCAGGAGCAGGTCCTACAGTTTATTGGTTGAACTGGAGGCAGCTGTGTAGAGGCTGTTTCCTCCTCTCCCAGCGCCATATTGTGGGAGAGCAGATGCATAGAATAAGTCTTAATTCCAGTAACAGTCTAGTCCGAGTTGCTCCCCACAGGAGGGCATCTGGGGCAGTGGTTAAGACACTCACATCCTACATTTCAGGGCTGCATTTGAGTCCCAGGTCTGCTTCTGATTCCAGCTTTCTGCTTACGTGTACCCTGGGAGGCAGCAGATGATGGCTCAAGTAGTTGGGCCTCTGTGATCCACTTGGGAGATGCAAATTGAGTTCTGAACTCCTGGTTTCAGCTTGTCCCAGCCCTGGCTGCTGCAGGCATTTAGAGAGTGAACTGGAGGATGGAAGAACTCTTGTCTCATCTTGTATTCTTTTTTTCTCTCTCTTCCTCTCCCTGCCTCCATCTCTCCACCCTCTCAACTACATGAAAATTTTTAAGGAGGAAGAGGAGAAATTTGTCTTCAGATTTTTAGGCTGTTTCTTAGAAAGGACTAACTTGGGTAAGAAACAGCCATGTTTTACATAGAGCAATCCTTTATTGCTTCTGTAATTGTCTGGGTTCATTCTACCCCTGAGTTAACAAGTTTGCAACTACTGAAATGCAATAGGGAAAAACCAAATTAATAAACTAGGACCCATAACTTGGATTCAGGTATTGATGTGCTTTATTTGGCCTGCACAATGTTTTCACAATTTTTGAATTTAACATCTCTGAATTAATAGCATGTAGGCATAATTCAGTTGGCCATAGTCCTCGCTATCCCCTTTTGTCTCTCAGCATGCTTTAACCAATTGTTTGAACACTCGAACTTGAGGATTCAGGAACAAACACGTAGGCTTCCCACACACCTCTTGGGACTTCTAATGTATGAACTATTATTAAAAATAGCTGTTTTATGGCCTCTGGATTAAAAGTTACAGTGCAGAGAGACATTTGCTTGAGAGTTTGGATTCAAATTCCTCATGTAGGCTATACTTTCCTGGATTCTGTGCAGCAGTTATAAATGTAGGCAAGATCTTAATTTGAAACAAATTCAGTTGTGAGGGGTGAATTGGGTAGGTGGAGGTTTAGGACAAGCAAATATTATATTTTAGTGTATAAATCTAAAGTTCTTTTAAATCAGAAATTAATACACACTGAAAACATTTCTCTTTTTTCTTTAATAAATCACATAGAATGCAAGTAGTCCAGGACTCTGTTATGGTATAACAACATAATTTACATGTGCCACAGGCTCCTTTTTTTTTTTTTTCCAGCAGAGGATTTCATATGCTTAAAGACTCATGTATATTTTTTAAAGATTTATTTATTTATTTGAAAGTCAGAGTTACACAGAGAGAGGAGAGGCAGAGAGAGAGAGAGAGAGAGAAAGAGAAAGAGAGAGAGGTCTTCCATCTGCTGGTTCACTCCCCAGATGGCTACAACGGCTGGAGCTGAGCCGATCCGAAGCCAGGAGCCAGGAGCTTCTTCTGGGTCTCCCATGTGGGTGCAGGGGACCTAGCATCTTCCACTGCTTTCCCAGGCCATAGCAGAGAGCTGGATTGGAAGTGGAGCAGCCGGGTCTTGAACCGGCGCCCATATGGGATGCCGGCACTCCAGGCCAGGGCGTTAACCCACTGTGCCACAGCACCAGCCCCAAGACTCATGTATTGAGATTAGCACACAGCAGGGGTTTTATTTTTCCTTTTTTAGGTTTGAATAATTTTAAAAAATTTTATTAATATAAAGAAAAGAGATTTCATGTATTTCACAGGTAGAGTTGCAAGAAGACAATCATACTTTCCTCTCTCCTCCTCTCCCTCCCTCAATCCCTCTCCCTCCTTTCCTTTTTCTTCTTTAATTTTTGCAAAGGCATAATTTCAAGCCACTCTATAGTCACAGGCTTAATACACTATTAATCATATTATTCTAAAATGTGCACAAGAGAAACAGGAGATTACCTTCAAAGGTCTCAGTTAGACTGACAGCTGATTTCTCTTCAGAAATCCTACAGGCTAGAAGAGAATGGAGAGACATAGTCCCAAGTCCTGAAAGAAAAAAAAAAGCTATCAACCCAGAATATTGTATTCAGAAAAATTTTCATTTATAAATGAAGCTAAAATAAAGATCTTCTAAAGCAAACAGAAATTGAAAGAATCTGTCACCACTTCTTCAGCCTTACAAATAATACTTTAGGATTAAGTATTAACTATTTCTGTGTGCTACACACAGAAATAGAGAAAGATAGTCATCATTATGAAAGAATGAGAAGGCAGAAAATCTCATAGTAAAAGTACAGAGGAAATTCAAAGCAAACAATTGGAACATTCACAGAGAGATGACAGGACTAAGTCGTTACTTATCAATAACAGTCTTGAATGTAAAGGTCCTAAATTCTCCAATGAAAAGATATAGCAGTGGCTTTCAAAGCTTAGTGAAAGGCTTAGTTAAACATATCCCTGGATTCTCTTCTAGAGTGTCTGATTCAGTAGGTTTGGGGGTGAGGCCTAAGAATTTACATTCTTAATAAACTTTCAGGTGATCTAATGCTGATGGTTCAGGGATTACACTTTTGAGCGCCATTAGTCTATACAGTGAGTGTGAGCTCTCTAACTCACACTCTTTTTAGTTTTAGTTTTAGCCTAAAAATAGACTTTCACTAATTTTTTTGAACTTTTGAAAAATTCTAGAGAAGTCTAACCAGTCTATATGTGCCAAACCCTACAATCAAGTGAGGTGGCTGAGTCTGAAGAATGCAGGGGAAGCGTACTGAGAGGTTACAACAGTATCCACCATACTTTCTCTCTCTTTTTCTCTCTCATTAGAGAAGAATAGAGTTTTGAAACTTTTTCTCTTGTGTATCAGAATAATATGCTTATTTTCTTTGTGATATTGTGTTTTGACATCAAATTCAAGAACTTGAAGAATAATTAGTGTCAATAAATTTCTATGTTGTTTGGATTCATGATCTAGCAGATGAAATACAGAGAGATCATGTTTGGGATACATACAACAGCCCACCTTGGTCAGAAAAAAATGGGAGAACCCCAAGGAGAAATGGAATAATGTTCACTCATTTGTTCTTAGAAGTCAGACCTCATTTTACAATAAAGAATTTTTATTATCAACTTGGGTAAATCTCAAAATCCCATTTCTTTAGAATTGTTGTAATGCTTACTGAGGTTCTGCTTCTATATCTACTGAAAATGATGGCAGTGATGATTGTTCCTGTTAAATCCATATTTTTACACATTTTATATTTATCGATTGGAGCTCACAGTAACCCTGTTAGGAATTCTCTGTCATAAGTTCAGTATTATTATAGCAACATTATCCAGTATTATCTTTCACAGAAATTGAGGTTTAAAGGGTTTAACTTACTTCTCCATGATTACACTCTGAATCTGATGGATTTTGGAGCCTGCATTTTTTCCATTTCTCAAAACTTCTTTCACATGATTTAAAAACTGCTGTAGCAGATGCCCACAGCAAGGTACTGATTGAGGGGATAACAGTACAGAAAACCATGCTATTTCCTTGACATTCCCAGAGTTTTGTGTTTCCTTAAAAGTAGAATTGAATTCTGGGATTGCTTTTGGAAAATGTAGTCTAATCATTGGAATAATGGATAACACAATTTATAGATTTTATTACTTTTTCCTAAATTTTTGTTACCTTGCCCATCTTTTTAGAGCAGAAAGTGCCAAACTTTATGGGGAAGAAAGAAAAATACACTCTGAAAGACAAAACAACTTTATAACATGATTCAACTTATTCTGACATTAATCCCTCGAGTAAGTATTGTGTTATGTTATTTCGTTTCTGCTCACACATGCGTGTTTGCCTTTCCTCTTTCATAGCTCTAGATTCTTAGTATAGGCAAAAGCCCACATTAAGGCTCAGAAAACACAGTAGCATTCTCCCTGCCAATCTCAACCGCAGGCTGACTGAGGGTAATGCAAATTCCCAGCGAACAAGAATGGAACACTATTTGCTGTTTTGAAACAGTGCAGACTTTATCTTGTCCTTTGAATGTCGCATCCCAATAGTTAATGCATGCTTATTGATGATAGACATAAGAAAATAGCCACATATTAGCATCTTTTGGCATGTGAGAATAAACAATCCATCTTGTATCTGCTTTGATTTATTGGCCAGGTGATTCTACTTACACATTAGACTCGGCCATCCAGTTGCTCAGTCCAAAATCATTGGGATGCAGCTCAGCTCCTTTTACTCTTTCCCACCACAGCCCTTACCCATCAGCAAAATCTGTCAGTCTTAGCTGCAAAATATATTAGAAATCTGACCATCTCTGTACTTTCATTGCTTCTCCATTGCCCAAGCCACCATCACCTCTCATTTGGATCACTACAATGGCTTCCTTATTGGATTCTCTGCCTCTCCTTTTGCTTCTTTGCAGTCAGTTTCAACGAGGCAGCTAGAGCAATTTTAACAGAATGATCCTAAAACATATTTTGAAAAGAGTCACCAGTGAGTTCTAAATCCTCCAGTGGTTTTTAACATCATAGAGGGTAAAACACAAAGCCCTCATGGTGACACATAGCCCACACTATGACTCCTCTTTCCCTTTGATAGCCCATTTCTGCATTGGTTTCTCCTGATCTCCATGGGATTCTCACCTTCACCTGCTTCAGATTCTTGCTCAAATGTTGACTTCTTTTCTGTGAAGTCAAACCTTGACCAAAGTATTTATCTCTGCCTGCTTTCCTTATGCCCTCCGTCCTACTTGATTTCTCTCCAATATTTTGGTCATTTTATATACTTTACATGTTTGTTATAATTTTAAATATCTGTCTCTTTTCTCTGAAATACAGGCTTCATGGGTGTTGGTTATGAGTGCCACTAGATGACCACAAAAACTCATTCATCTGTTTACTTATGTACATTTGTTGGTATGTACACTGTATTTTAATACAATGTTTTAAAAACACTTTTTAAAATGTAGAAAAAATAGGTTTTGTGAAGGCAAGGATTTTGTGATTTTTTTTATTTATGTTTGTTGCTACTGCTACAATGCAGTATTAGTGTTGGACACATAGTAGTATTGGACACATAGTGTTGGACACATAGTAGACCCTCAACAAATGTTGGTGAAATTGAATGCATTCCAGGCAAGACTTACTTTCTCACGATAATGAAGATGCTTCAAATGAACATTGTAGACCTCCCTTACCTGCAATGTTCCAGGATACTCAGTGATGCTTGAAACTGTGGATAATATCAAACCTATATATCTATATCTATATCTATATCTATATCTATATATTACAGATATTTCCTATGCATAGACTACTGAGTAATAAGTTGGTAGTGGTATAGTGTGGTTATACTGCATAATGGGATGATTCACTTCCTGATGTGGGATTGAGTGAGATTTCATCACACTACTTAAAATGACACTCAATTTAAAATTTATGAATTGTTTACTTCTTCAACTTCTCATTTAATATTTTCAGACCATAGTTGATTCTGATAATTAAAATAATGGAAAACAAAACCATGAATAAGAGGGGAAGGGGCCTACCATATTTATTTTGTGTTAAAACCAGAGTTTAAAGCTGCTTTCCTCTTCCTTCTACAGGAAATTTGGCTGGAGATGATTGTGATAATGTCCTGTATGGTGTTCCAGGGCAGAACATGTAAGATACTCAGGAACACTTTTTGAAGGAATTGCACTAGTCCATCTCTACTCTGTTGCTCCATCCTTGCAATGCACGTGTGACTTGATTGAATTTGTGGCCTTAATCAGGATCATGAAAGACAGAAACTGAAATTTTAAGGAGTCTGAGCCATATTCCTGTCTATGAAAACTAAGTTCTTTTTTACTAAGCACATCAACTGATCACTAATGCTATGAGTTTGAAGTGGTGTTAAAACGCTGGGTACCTAATTGAGATCAACAGGAGTCAAGAAGAAACCATTGCTTACAAGGCAATGGCATATGGGTAAGGGAGAATCACGATTTCCCTAACCTGAAGTCTGTCTGTTAGCTTTATGGGAACACCTGGGCTGTGCAAGCCCCATCCTCCTACTTAGTTCCTGAGCTGCCAGTTGTGACTAATGACTGCTAAATTGTCACAATCACCAAACAGGACCTATTCTGTCTTAAAAGAGACAGGAGTTTTTGTGTTTCATAACCTCTAACAAACATGCCAAGAATCTTAAGAAATTGCTGCTGAATCAGAAGAAACTTAGCTGCCAATTTACACATGTCAAAGATTTCTTAGCACCACTCAGTTTGCTTTGACGACAAAAGCTTATGGTGGTAGGTCTGAGTTTCCAACAAATCAAAGATCTGGCAGAAGGTTTTATGCTTTTTCTTCCTTGACAAGTTTCCCCCTATAGTTTCCTGACTCTCCTGATACCCATTATGTCAAGCTCCATCATGTTGGGCCAACCAACATCCCATGTGATAGAAAAACAATTTTAAGAGAACAAGGGGATAAGGAGTCTGTGTCAAGTTTGTCCTGGAACCTAAAATAAACAACTCTTGAGTGCATAACTCCTGTGGTCAAGAATGCTCACACTGAGGACTTCTGCAGTTGATGACTTCTGCAGTGGTCTCTCTATTGGGCTATTAATCTGGTGGTGAGGCCAGGCATTCAATCAGATTGTCACAAGATCAATAAAGGCCAAAAGCTAGAACTGTGGGTAAGTGAAACAAGTTAGAAAGGAAGAATCATGTGAATATCTTCAAGAAAGACTATCAGAACCAATAAGAAAGTATTCAATATAAATATTAATACAAATAAGTTGTAGGTTATTGGCCCTTGTTGAGTGTCCTGTTTATTGATCTACCTGTCAGCTCCGTCATTCACATTCTCATTCACATTCTCTGCCCTGCTCTGTGCCTGTGTTCAGTTGTTAAGACCCGAACTGATACAGTGCTTGGAATCAAGAGAATGCTCAGGAAACAGACTTTCTGGAGGGAATTTTTAAATGAGAGATGCTCAAATATATTATAAACACATAAATGACTTTTCTTGCTAGATAGAAATTGTACCCTGGTAATGGGAGACAAGCA